ATATATATATGTTAAGATTGAATTTCATAAAAATAAATATTATTCAATTTTTAAATATTTAATAGTTTTAAAAATTAATATTAGATCATATTCAATAATTTAAAAAATATTTTTGAATATTCAATAATTAAGAGATAGGAGAGAGATAAAAAAAATATACATAAGTGAGATAAGAAAGAAAAAATATGAAGAATTTTAAATTCTTATTTTTTGGGGAGAATTTAAAATTTTACTAATTTAAAGAATTTTACAAGTGTTCAGATTTCAAATTCTTTATAAATTCTACATTCAAACAAAACATTTCATCTTAAAACATTTGAAATTCTTCAAAAAAAAAAAATTATTTCATTTAAATTCTCTATATCCAAACATACTATAAGAGTCAAGCTAATATTGAATTAGATCCTTGTCCACATAATCTTGAATGTAGGTTCCACTAGTAACTGCCTAAGGAGGTAAAGGAATCTGTTCATCTATGTGCACCTTTGATGCATTACAAAGCAAATAAATCACAGAGGGTGTGAGAATAATGAGCTATATCATGATGCAAATTTTAAGCCCAAAGATAACCAAGAAAAATTCAAGGGGCTTTGCTATTCGAAACAAAACTAGTGGATACCGGTGAGACATCCTCTAAACATGTTTCAAACTATCCCAATAAAAATGCTTACTGATGAGTCAATATTTTCCCCTATTTTCTTAACTTTCTGTACTTATTTTAATCTCTGATTTGCGCTTAATTGTTGATTATATGCACTGTTTTTCATTTGGGCTTTAATTGGACCGGTAATTCACATTTTAACTAATTTGAATTTTCTGGATCTAATTATTCCATATTTTTATTTTCAGGGCAGTTTAATAATTAATTGAACTTGGAATTAATTTTTGGACTTCAAGAGGAGCTGCCACGTCATCTGCCATGTCATGCTGCACCATTTTCCACCTCAACATTCATTTTTAGTTTTTAGGCTATTTTATTGTTATTGGGTCAGACATGTAATTGTTTTGGGGCCCAATCTCATTTTAAGTCATTTTAGGTTTAGGCTAGGGCTGACTTGGCAGCCACTAGAGGAGGGGTCTAATGTGACCACGTGAACAGTGCCTCCTTCATATTTTTGGGCAGACGTTTTGCTCTCTGGTAGCCTAGCTTCACGTTTTGTTCTCCTGGAGCTGCCATTTTCGTTTTACTCTCTTCTTCTCCTCTTATATGCATTTTGTATCTGAACTGAACCTTTACATTTGAAATACAGATTGTCATTTTCGTTTCCTTCTCTGCCTTGCATTTTTGTTTTCTGTTTTCATTTTAATATGGAAGGCTAAAAAACCCCTGGGTTGGGTTCTTGTTGTGGATTGTAATCTCTCTTTGAGGTTGGGTATGTTTGTATGTCTCTGTTCTGCTTGTTCTTCTCCATTTAACCTCTCTGTCCATGCTTAATGGGCTGTGCTCCAAGCCACAGTTGCTTAATCTGTGAAGAGGTTGATGTTGTATACGTTTGCTTAATTCGTGTAGGGAAATCTTGAGTTAATCTTCGCTTAGTTGGTTAACTCGGATGGAACAAGGATTAAGTGGTTAATAGAGTAATGTTTGAGAACCAGGGATAAAAGAGTTACAATCCGAACAAGGAGCCAATCCATTTTTACTTATTGTTTTATTTCGTTTTATTGTGTTACGAACTGAAAACCTGAAGGCAAACCCCCCTACTGTGTGTTTAAGCCTTTAACAGTAAACGACGGTCCTTGGGAGACGACCTAGGAGTCACTTCCTAGTACTACATTTAATTGTATTTATTTGACCA